CGGAAGACCCAGCGGGCCGCGGCCGCGGCGGGGACGTCGCCCCCGGAGCATTGCGAGCGGGTCTCGGGCCTCTTCCGCCAGGCCTTGGCCCAGGCCGCCGTCTCCTTTACTGACTTCACCCGCACCAGCGAGCCCCGCCACCAGCAAGCTGTGCGTCATTTCTGGGGCGCCCTCCGGGATGGCGGGGCACTCTACAAAGGGTCTTACGAGGGCTGGTACTGCACTCCCGAGGAGTGCTTCCTGCCCGAGAGCCAGCTCGCTGAGCGCAGGGACGCCCAGGGACGCCCATGCAAGGTGTCGTTGGAGACCGGCCATCAGGTAACGGCACCTGCACCGTCCCGGTCAACGGCGGCTGCTCCTGCAGAAGCACCGTGCGCTCATCTCTTGGTCTGGTCTTGCCAAATTTGGGGGTGTTTAATGCTTCCTGTAGCCTTTTGTAATTCACGTCAGCCGAGAGTTGCCTGTCTTTCGTAGCATGTCTCTTCTGTGTTTATAGCGGCGCATGGCTATGCAGGGGAGAGCTGCCAAAACCCCAACCGGCAGATGCAAATTTCAGCCACGTGCTGTGGGAAGGATTCAGCTGCCACTGGGTTCCACAGGCCGCTGGCCTGGAAACAGCATTTTAAAGCGGTGATGAAAGTAGTTAGCTGTATGGAAGGGTGAAGGTGTTTGTAACTGAGGCATTCATCGGGTGGCTGGAGTTTAAGACCTGTTTTGTGAGGCAATTCAGTTTGGCCTCTGGACACTTTTCGTCAGTCTTGTTACACGGGTTTCGTCCCTACGTGAAATGCCATAACATCATCTGCCTGTGGTGTAGCCTGATGACTGAATAGCTGTGCAACCAGGAGCGTGGTACCTGGCTGGGAGTCTCTCTGCCCCTGCGTTTTCTGTAAGGTATCGGAGTTACATGATTTAATCCCACAGTTGCAGGTAATCGTACTTCAGAGTTAAGCAGAGGTTATCCTCTTGTGATATTTGTACGAGGCTGGGGTGTGGGAGCGTGGGTTCACACAGAAAGGGATATGTTGGCAAATAATATCTCTTGATAAAGCACCTAACGTAGTTGGGGAAAAGATAAGTTTCCAGGCAAAGAAATCATTCTTTAGATCTAAACTAGAGTCAGCAGGCTTCCAAGTCAAATACACCCCGAGAACAATTACTTGCCTTAGCTGCATATCGAACTGTCCAAGAGAAATGGTAGTGTGCGTGGTGCAGAGAAGATCTTGTAAGGTGGTGGAAAGAGGTGGTAGGTGTTTATCTCCACCCAGAGACAGTGGGGTAGTTTGTGGAGGAAAAGGGGGAGTTTACAACATGCCATAAAACCTGTGCCTCTGGCAAGTCTGATTTTTAGTATCCAGTAGAGCCTGGGGGTGAAAATGTATAGCTCGTCTTTGAATGATGTTCTTCAGGTCTTCCTTGAACGCTGAGAGATCAGAGTCTGTTCTGTAGGAAACTTTCCTCCTCCTCCTCTCTGTTACTATGCTTTGATGTCATTTAATGCACAGAGAAGCTGGAGAGGAGCCACCGGAGGCTCCCAATGTGGTCAGGGCACGGAGCGTAGGCCTACAAGAGGATGAGGCAACTGGACCAGTTTAGTTTAGCAAACAGGGTGCGAAGGGACAAACTGATAGCAGCCTACACCTATGTGCAGGGCAGTTACAAAGAGCACAAAGCCATCTGCTTCTGGGGGAGGGCTAGGTGCTAGGCCAAGGGGTAATGGTGCCACCAGCTGTGCTGCAGGGTCAGGCTGCATTTATTGAGGCATGGTGTTCGTTGCTCAGGCCCAGCTGGAGGACGGTTGGCGCATGTGGGGCTGCAGGGATTCTCTCTCTGATGAGGAAATGAGCTGGAGCTGGGAAGAGACTGTCCAGGCAGCATGCTGAAAAAGCCGGGGCAGGGGGGATTGGTAAAGCAGCAAGCTGGACATGAGCCAGCAGTGTGCCCTGACAGCAAAGGCAGCCAGCTGGGATTATCTCAGGCTATATGAACAGGAGCAATGCCAGGTCAAGGGACGTGATGATCCCCCTCTATTCAGCACTCTAATGACCACATCTAGGTACTGCATCCAGTTTTCTGTCCCCTGGTACAAGAAACACAATCTAGAAACTGGGAGAAGTTCAGTGGAGGGCCACCAAGATGGTTAGGATGCTGGAGCACTTGCCATTTGAGGGAGCTGGCTTCTTCAGCCTTAGAGAAGACAGGATTTTGGGAGGGGCTACTGGCAGAAGCTCCCCAATAGCTATGAGAAGGTCATGAAGAAGATGGAGCCAGGTTCTTCTAACAGTATATGGCAGGAGGATGAGAGAATGGGCATAAGTGGAAATGGGAGAGGTTCAGACTGGATTTACAGGGAAACTTCGTTCCCGTGAGGACAGCCAAGCAGCAGAACAGGCTGCCTGGGGAAGTTCTGCGGTCTCCATCCTTAGAGGTTTTCAAAGTGTGCCTGGCTAAAGCCCTGAGTAACCTGTTCTAACCCTGTAGGTGACCCTGCTGTGAGCAGGAGGCTGCACTACAGACTTCCTGAATTATCCTGTGCTCCTTAGCTCAGGGCTGTTTGAAGGTCGGAGAGACAGCACGCAGATTTCTCTGCAGGGCAGATATTCCAGTGGCTGTTCACAGGCAAGCCTTGAACAAAGATGCTGGGTTTGTGGGTTGTTATAATTACTCTGCCCTTTATCAACCTCTCTGCATACTCCAGGCCCTAACTTCGCAGTTCTCAGGAGACAGCCTGTTTCTAATCTCTTTTCCCCTTCCCACCAAGTGGCTTTCTACTCGGCTGTCACCCAGCTCTCCTGCAGGTGGCTGGCTGATAGCTCAGCTCTTAGCCCTTGGCAGATGATGTGAGGTGGGCTCTTCGGAGCCAGATGCCAGACTTGGTCAGCGTTTCGGAAGAAACGATTGCAGGTCCCACTTTGAGTTGGCTTTTGCGTCCTAAGTTGTTACCAAAGGGTTCACTGGATTTGTGTAAAAGGGAATATTGGGTGGAGGACGTGACATTGGCTCTGTGTGAAGTATTACTCCCAGACAGAGTGCTGAGAACGGGTACCCAGAAACTGAAAATGGTTATGGGAAAAAAATAAAGCATTTGAGGGAAAGGGAGGAACCAAAACATTTTTGTGCAACTTGTTTATGATTTGTGTAGGGAAGAATATTTCTTTTGGGGTGGCCTTCTAATCAAGTAAGCAAAGGCAGTATTTGCTACTGGCTGCCTCTGAAATTAGACAAATTCAACTACATTGTAACAGAGTTTCATACCACCAGGACTAATTATTCCTCAGGGTATCTTGGCTTGAGGTGTGGTAGGCTCCTTACTGCTCGTATTGGGAGTGAGGCACGTTCCGGCTCAGTCAGAAGCTGTTGGGTTCAGTGCTAGAAACTGATGATGCCAACGCCTGTGCTTTCTTAGCTTAGAGCCTTATTGACCTAGTCATAGATCTCTTGAGTGCCTTTACGCAGCTCACTCACACCGTATCTGCCCACAAAGTTCCCGTTGATTTAGCTAAATGTGTCATTTAATTAATTTAAATGTGTGGGAGAAGTGCTGTCGGTGCTTTAACGTGATTACAGGCAGACAAAGTTAGCGACCAAGATGCACTAATGCTTAAACTGGGGAAAGAGAGGAACACGGCACCTAGGAGAAAAGCAGAGGCATGCACCAGGGTTGTTAGCAAGGCAGTAATTTACAATGTCATTTTGGCTTTTTAATGATTTCCTACTACTATTGCAAAACTGTTTTTAAGTAAGTGTATTCTCATCTCCCTAATTCTTGCCTGATGACACGTAAGTTGTGGGAAGGTATTCCTTCCCTGGGGGTGTGAGCATCTTCAAAAGCAGAGTGGTGAGCCATCCCAAGCGCCTCAGTCCTCTCCAGTTGCCCTTGGGAGGCCAGGGAGGCTGTGTCTTAGGAGAGGAGGGTCCCGCTAGGCATGGAAGGATGCCAGAAGGAAGGAAGGAAGGAAGGAGGCGCAGAGGGAGCCTGCCACGAACTCCACGCTGAGAACATGGCGTGCAAATCATGAAGCTGTTTGCAGAGCGTTTGAGCTGTAATTCTTTTCTCTCCTGCCTTCTCAGGTGCATTGGACCAAAGAGGAGAATTACATGTTCAGGCTCTCGGCGTTCCGGGATCCCTTGCGGAAGTGGCTCCAGGACAACCCCCGGGCCATTTCCCCTGACCCTTTCTACCAGCACGTGCTCTGCTGGCTGGAAGAGGACTTGCCAGACTTGTCCGTCTCTCGTGAGAGAAGCCGGCTGCAGTGGGGTATCCCTGTTCCCAGTGACTCGACACAAACTATTTACGTGTGGGTGGATGCCTTGGTGAACTACCTGAGCGTGGTGGGCTACCCCGAGACGCACGCTGAGTGGTGGCCGGCTGCGCACCATGTTGTGGGCAAGGACATCCTCAAGTTTCATGCTGTCTACTGGCCAGCACTGCTGATGGCAGCAGGGCTGGCTCCCCCCGAGCGAATCTATGTGCACTCCCACTGGACTGTCCGTGGGCAGAAGATGTCCAAAAGCCTGGGCAATGTGATCGACCCCTTTGCTTGTATTGGCCAGTACACGGTAGACGGATTTCGGTACTTTCTGCTAAGGCAGGGGGTCCCTGAGCGGGACTGTGACTATTACGATGAGAAGGTCGTTAAGCTGGTGAACTCGGAACTGGCAGATGCTCTGGGGGGGCTCCTGAACCGGTCAACAGCCCTCAGCATTAACCCCAGCAACACTTACCCTTGTTTCTCAGAGTCTTGTTTCCCAAAGATCGTGGATTACAGGGGGACGAAAGCTGTGGGTAGGGCTTCTGCTGAAGACTACGAGTTCGTGGCATCGGTGGCTTCTCTGCCTCTGCAGGTGGCTAGTTATTTTGAAGGTTTCCAGATCTACAAGGCTTTAGAATGTGTTTCCCTGTGCGTAAGGCAGACCAACAGTTTCTTCCAGAGACACAAGCCTTGGAAACTCAACCGAAAAGACCCCGCAGAGAAGCTCTGGCTCGACACCATCATCCATGTTACGCTGGAATGCCTGCGTGTCTACGGGACGCTCCTGCAACCCGTGATCCCACACACTGCAGACAAGTTGCTTTCCCGGCTGGCTGTTGAGCCAGAAGAGAGAAGTCTCTCCAGTTTGACATTTCTGCCACGCTACGATGGGAAGCCGTGTCCCTTTGAAGGGAGACAGCTTGGGCCTGACACCGGCCTCTTATTTCACAGACTAGAGAAGTCAAGACAGCCTCAGGCAGAAGCCCAGAAGCTCTAGCCTCTGATCAACAGCTTCTGTAAATAAAAGCCTCCGGGAACTCCCGGAAAATGTTGTCTTTGTTAAAAGCATGTTCCCCACATCTCTTGGTGCTGGGATAAAGTGCGTGAGTGGAAAACCGGACCGGGCAGGGCTGTGCAGTCCTGCCTAGGTGACTGCCATCGGTCTCTGCCTGACGCGGGAAGCAGGCGCCTGCGGGCAGAGTGGTTTCGTGCGCGGGGCCAAGCGCTAGGGAGGCTTCTCGGGTAACGCCCTTGAAGGGACACCGAATTAGCTAAGCTGGTAACAGAATGAGCTGAAGACGCAGCCTAGGCTTTGAAGACTGCTGCTTTTTTTCCCCTGCTGTATTTTATGGGACATAAAAAGTGGCTGAGGCAAATCCTTACCCCCTTAAAATAGGGAACGCTTCCTGTACAGTCTTGGGGTTCCACCAGAGAGCCCTCTCGCCTCTGCCTTGTGTCTTCCCTCCTGGCCCCTTTACCTTGTCTCTCCTGATGCGAGGAGCGGGTCAGGTGCTCTGCTGAGGACGTTTTAAATGTGAGTGTGGCAGCCAGTCTGCTCTGCTCAGCGATCTCTTCCAGAGGCAGCAACCCCCCAGCTTGCTCGCTCGCTCCAGGAATCCCTCCCCAGGCTAGCGTTTGGGCTGAGTCTCCAGGAGGATCAGACTAGCCCTGAGGGAAGAAGGGGTCTCTCCTGGGGCCTGCGCAGCGGCGTCTCTCCTCCTCGCGCGGGGAGAGGGCTGTAGCTGGTGTCCTGACCTCCCCGTGACTTTGCCCTGCAGGTTTCTGGCCAGGCCAGAAGGAGCTGGGGGCAGTCAGAAATGGTTTCCTGGGAAGGTCTCTGGGATGTAGTCCGGGTGGGTCTGTTGGGTCCATCAGCTGAGGCTCCTTCGTGGGCCAAAACCTCCATTCAGCTGGTACCTACGTGAGCCGTGATGGGGCGGATCTCTTCTGTCTGACTCTGCTGGGTGTACCGGGGGCAGTCCGCTGAGAGAGGGGGGTTCAGTGGTTGAACGGGCGGGCTCATCACCAAAATGGGAAAGGGGGGATGTGTCTCAGGCCCACACTCAATGTCATGAGGCTTCTCCACCCACTGCGTGGCTTTTTGCCCTCTCTTTGTTCCGTTTCAGTGCTGCTGGAAGCAGGCAGCCGAGCGCCGGTGCCCTGGGGCGGTTGTGACCGCTTGGGGACCTCTGGTAAATCCTTCCCAGCCTTTGGCTGCTCCGCTTCCCACCGAGTGCCTGCGCTGCAGGACTCGTCTTGCACTGCCCGCGGGTTTCAGGGGGCTGCGGTCTCTTGGAGCTGCCTGGGCTGCGTTTCCGGGGCGGCGGAGCAGTGCAGCCCCCTCGGAGCGCTGTGGGTCTCTGCAGAGGGACGGGCAGACCATGCTGCTTCTCCCTCCTGGTTCTCCACGACGCCCTCCCTGCGCCGCAGCGTGCCGCCCGGCCTGGTTCCAATTGCTCCCGGGAAGAAAGCCGGGTCCCCTCGGCCCCCTCCTGCGGTGGGATTCCTCCTCCCCTCGGCGGTTTTACCCGGCACCCCTCGCTCCGGCCCATCCCTGCGTGCGTGCTTCACGCTGATGCCCTCCACGCCCTC